GCAGTATTATTTATTTTATCCATATTTATATTTGTTTTAATAAAAACGAGCTTAGATTTGTCCACCGGTCAGGTGTTAGACCATATAGGGCGCAGCATGTGTATTTGGAAATAACTCAATTTTTTGAGCACACTTCGTCATTATTGTTCAATTATTCATTTGCTGGAAATTAGAGCTGAATTTAGAAATAGTTTTGAAACAAATCTTTGCGCTTAATAAACTAAATTTATTATGTAGGGTAATGGATGTCTGAGCGTACAACACGTTTCCCTATCTACTAGAGTGAAAGTGAAAGTAAATCATTCTCGCGCTGCAGATGCTCTGTTTAACTGTTTTCTCACTAGTGAAGTGTTCAGTTTTTCCACTTACAAAGTCTGTCATGTAAATAGCGAATGCGCTATGGAGTGACGCAACTGACTCTTAAACGGAATAGGAGATCAAACTGGAATTGGTTTATTCTCAAAACAAACATATAACTCATTAAGAGAATAAACTCAACCCTTTTAGACCATGCGCCACAGCGCAAAGTGGATTTTTCCATCCTTAAAATAGCAAAAGTGGATTCTGACACGCCCTTAATGCGTTTGCGCATGGATCGACAAAATAGAGCCCATAGAGTCTAAAAAAAAGCTGAGATGTTGTAACTTAAGATTGAGACAAATATGGACAAAGTCAGCCATTGGGTGGAAACTGTAGCTCTATTTTACTGCCTTTAATGAAATGTGCGAATTATACATTGACATTTGGGAATGTCATCATTTTTCTGTTGTTACTGTAATGCCTCAGTGAACCAAATCAATGATTCAAATCATTAATTTAATTACATCTCATTTATTAATCAAACTATTTTCTACTGTTTTTAGGAATAGGGATAACCCATGACAGGCTAAAAGATTGTCGACCTATTTTTTATATAAAATGGTGAATTTTGCAGAACGGGGACAATTTGCATCCCAGTAAATGGATGATTATATAAGATCACACAAGAAGTAAATTACATTTTTTTTATATATTGTAATTATATTATTTTTTACTATATACTGTATATCTTGTAGGGGTGTAACAGATCACAACCCAGTTCGGAACTTGTGTGACCTGCGTATTTATAACTATTTTAAATTCGTAGGTTAACCAAACATTTATAACAATTGCAGAGAGATCGCCTCAGGCGTCTTTCAAATCACGTGTATGAAAGCATTTAGCTTCTCTGTAAAATATACTGATGACGGAAAAAAGTTCCATTCGTGCCTGCTGTTCTCGCATAAATCCACCAGAGGCCACTGTCAACTGACTGACCAACCAACTGACCGACCGACCCCTCCCACTGCCTTCCCAAACCCCAACCAACAGTGTTTTCAAAAGCAATCAAGAATAAGAAAAGCCCTTGCAGCCGCCTGATTTTTACCCCTTCTTCAAATTTTTACGACGTTTTAACCCTGTAAGTTACTTAAATGTTTATTTTTTTGCCTTTTGTTTTAGTTTTACCTGCTTTTTAGAACTGTCTTTCGCCGGACTCGAACATCGTCCACATGGAGATAAGCGGTCAGTTGGTAGCGTGAAAAGAAACAGAAGCCGTCAGCAGCGTCATACCCCCCATATCGTTCATTTTAAAGATGAAATGAAGCCGCTTGTACCTCTGGCTACATAATTCGCGCTCTCCAGAAATGTATACAGGGGTACGTATCCACAATGAGCCTGTGTTGATTTTAATGCATGTTTAAAATTCTCAATCCCCATCCCTACAGGCCATCTAAGGTCGACATGATTATCGAGTAAAACAATGTGTTAAAATGTGCATCAAAAGCTTTTAAATCAGTAGTTTGTGATATGATTATTTTTTATCGCATAAAAGCCAGATGAGGCCAAAGAGAATAAAACTTGGAGATAAAAGGGATAAAGAGAGAGAGAGAGAGAGAGAGAGAGAGAGACCTCCATCTGTCAGCTTAACGGACTGGACGACCCGTCAACGTCCTGTGGGAGTTTCTGCAAAGAGTATTTGTTCAGCCCACGCCGTTATTAGAGCAGAACGAATCTTGTGTTTCTGCTGGACATCTGCATGAAGTGATTTATGATTAGGTGAAAACACAGATTTGCGCTGTCTTCTTTTTAAGTAACATGTTTGCGCTCAGATTTCAAGTCTATGAACATGTGCTGGATTTAGGGCGCTTAACCTTCACCAGAGTTAAATCCTTCCCCCCTATAAAATCTCTCTTAACATATTGCACATTTCTATATAAGCTAACAGCAGACTTCAATAACATTCAATATAGCGCGATGATGAACATGCAGACGACATGGTGGAGCATTGGGTAGCACTGCCCCCTCACAGCAAGTAGGTCGCTAGTTCAAGTCCCGGCTGGGTCAGTTGGCATGTCTGTGTGGAGTTTGCATGTTCTCCCTGCGTTTGCGTGGGTTTCCTCTGGGTGCTCCCCACAGTCCAAACACATGCGCTATAGGGAAATTGAATAAGCAAAATTGTCTGTAGTGTTTGTATGTAAATGAGAGTCTATGGGTGTTTCCCAGTGTTGGGTTGTGGCTGCAAGGGCATCCGCTGCATAGGACATATGCTGGATAAGTTGGCGGTTCATTCCGCTGTGGCGACCACTGATTAATAAAGGGGCTAAGCTGAAAAGAAAATGAATGAATGAATAATTTATATAAGATAAATACAGGTATACGGTTAAGGACTGGTTTGGAGGTATGGATAAGATTCTGGAAGCTGTTTTGTCAAATCATGCTTGCTGTGTATTTTATAATCTTCTGGAACATAATTAATATTGAACTGTAAGCACTTCACGAGTTTACACTTGCATTCGTTTAAATATAAAGCATATTTGGCGTGCTGTCCGGGGGGAGGGCTCTGAGCTCGAGGAGACACCCCAACTCGATTTATTCCCCTTATCAGGAAACAAAGAGGAGTTGGGATTCGAGCAAAGTATCTAGCCCGGCCCCAGAACGCTCCCCCCGGGAATATAATGCAAGAGGTGAGGTGACGGGGTGGTGGAGGGATGCTAAACTCGTGAGATGCTGCAGGTAAGACAGCTTTGGTATATATAGGGGTTGCTCAAGAACTGATTTGATGATGGGATAATTGTCAATGACGTATTCGATACTGAAACTTCTGCGCATGCTCCTCCCGAAATTTGTTTATAAAACATCACTTCTGTATTTGTGTCGTGTCCTTTGGAAGCCCAAATACAGAAACAGACGAAGCTCTGTGGAAACAGCAGTGTGTGGACGCATTTTAGCTCTATCTCTGCTACAGCGCCTCAGGCCACGGCCCTTTGTAGGCTTTGCTAAGCTAACTGTAAAAACCAAGGTTTCCTTTTGCATTGAACTTAAAACTTTTTACATTCAGAGATATTGTTTATGTTCACACAGCTACATTACACATCAACTAAGGTTTAAAATATGATATCGTAGTGGACCACCCCTTTAAAATCTCCATAAAGCAGAAGCTGTGAGCTACAACCAGTAAGTGTTTTTATTTGTTAAACTTGATCATGACATGTACAGTGTCTGGCGTTAACGGTATGCTGTAGCAACGATGTAAACAATAAGAAATGCTGTTTTTCACCGCAAACAATTTAGCTACAAATTCATATTTATCAGTCAAACAGTTGTAAACACCCACACACACTTCACAAGCGCGTATAGGTTCTCTCTATGTGTGTGCGCGACTTTGCATAGATTCTCTTTAGCCAGCTTTTCCATGCGTTTTACATCACAGTTAATGAAGTCGCAAAAGATATGTGGATGATTCATATTACTTACACAAAATATATCTAAAATATGTTTTTTTGTGATCCTATAACTCTGTAGTTAGTTGTTTTGGAAAATATAAACAGATGTTTCAATATAATGTTAACATAGGCTTTCTATGTGAGTTTATATTTCGAGATTCGCAAATGCCGCATCCGCAACCTTGGAATTTATGGGTGTCAAACTAATTGTTTCTTTGGTGCACCGTGATGCAGACGCGGACAATTCGGTATCGGTTCAGTAATGATCATAACCGGTTATTATGTACTGACGTCATTTATCTCTTATGCTCTCTGTCACGAGGGAGGCGAGCGCGAGTATTTACAACACTCAGCCAACTCAGGGCCGGCTCGTGGCATAGGCACCATAGGCAAATGCTAAGGGCGCTGTATATCCAGGAGGGCGCCAGAAAGGAGCGCGGTTCAGTTGGTTTTGTTTTCGATATTCTTGATACACATTCAGATGCAGACTGAAATAACTCAAAAACCTCTTACCCTAAAAAGATCTAAAATGTGTTTCCTACAAAAAGACAAAGCTGGTTATGTTTCACAGCTGTCTTTCTTTTTTTTCTCTCCACATTACAAACACTGCTCCGTTTAAGCCCTCGCAATATGTGTTTAGCCGGGAGAGCTCGCGCTGAGAGGAGCTCTCAGCAAGGGACCGTCAGAAAAGTGCTTATTTTTTTCGTTTTTTTTTTTTTTAGTTTTTCTGCTCCGCTCTTCGCGAGCTCTCCCTGTTGCGAGGGCTTAATTGTGTGTGTGTGTGTGTGTGTGTTTGTTTGTTTGGTGCTGTCTATGTTTGTGTATGAATGAGAGACAGTGTGGTGCTGTGTCTCTGTGTGTTTATACAGACAGCTTGTTATAGCCTCTCCTCTAAAATATAACACTGTATATGGAAAGCATCATCAATGCATCTTGATGCACCGAAATATCTAATTGAACCGAATCGAAGGCATGATAATCGTAACCGAACCGAACCGTGAGACCAGTATAGGTTCACACCTCTATTGGAATAACTCATATACAGCATGCTGCTAAATTAATTCAAGATGAATTGATTTACAGTAAGTTACTGGAGAACTGCTGCCAGTTTGTTACTGTAGAATTTACAGGAATTTGTTAAAATTGTAGCTAACAGTCTTTGTGTCTGTCTTTTTCTCCAGGTCTCCAGGCGATTGAATGCAAGCACGATGCATCGATTTCCTTCCACCCTTTAAACGCTTCATCGAATTAAGACTTATGGAGGCCAACATCACTAACATCTCCTCAGGAACGGGCCAGAAATCATGGGTGGAGTCCAACGTGTGTCCTCCGTCAGTGAGCGGCACCACTCTTCTGATCGTGGCCTACAGCACTGTCATCGCAGTGGGCTTAGTAGGCAACACATGTCTCGTCTTCATCATATCCCGGCAAAAAGAGATGCGAAACGTCACCAACATCCTCATCGCCAACCTCTCCTGCTCGGACATCCTCATGTGCGTCGTTTGCCTCCCGGTGACTGTAATCTACACCCTTATGGACCGCTGGATATTAGGCGAGACGTTATGCAAAGTCACTCCCTTTGTGCAATGCATGTCCGTAACGGTTTCTATCTTCTCATTGGTGCTCATTGCACTGGAAAGGCATCAGTTGATTATACACCCAACAGGGTGGACGCCAGCCGCTGGTCACTCCTACCTAGCCGTGGCCGTGACATGGATGGTAGCATGCTTTATCTCCCTGCCCTTCCTATCCTTCAACATCCTCACCAATGCTCCGTTTCAGAATATCAGCTTGCCGTTTAACCCGTTTAGCGATCACGTAATATGCATGGAGCTTTGGCCGTCAGAACGCAACCGTTTGGCGTACACCACCTCGCTTTTGCTTTTCCAATACTGCCTACCGCTGCTTCTCATACTGCTCTGCTACTTGCGTATTTTTCTACGTCTACGCCGAAGGAAAGACATGGTCGAGCAGGCTACGGAAGCGAGGCAAAGAAAGGCACGTGGTGCTCAGCGTGTTAACGCGATGCTAGTCGTGATTGTGGTTGCATTTGCGCTATGCTGGCTTCCGCTTAATGTCTTCAACACTATTTTCGATTGGTACCACCAGGCGTTGCCGGCATGCCAGCATGATGTCATCTTCTCCGCTTGCCACCTAACAGCGATGGCGTCTACTTGTGTAAACCCGGTGGTTTATGGATTTCTCAATACCAACTTTCAGAAGGAGCTGAAGGCGACGCTGCAGAGGTGTAACTGCGGATGGGGCGTCCCGGAGACCTACGAAAGTTTCCCACTTTCAACGGTGGCCACAGATGTCAGTAAGGTTTCATCAATGCAGCATGGCTCGCTGATTCGATCCGAACAATGCGCTCACTGCTGAATGGACCCATATTTCTTGGTATCTTAGCAGCAGAAGTCATCATAGTTGTTAAAACTCAAGAGCGCAGTCAATGGGAGAGTACAGCAAATCATTTGTTTACAATCCTATTTGGTCAAATAATAACAGAAAAACTCCACAGTGGTGTTTTCGAGACTTTCAGACAAAGGAAAATAGTGTGAGACTGAAGGCGGCAGCCAGAAGAGAGAATACAGTGGTCCCTTGTTGAGTTACGTTCTAAAAAATAATCTGTGATGTTCATCTTTATTTTTAACATTTATTCTAGATGTTTTAAGGCTGTGAAACCCCTCAACACACAGTTCATACACATTTCTCAGACAGGCAATGCATATTTCACACGATCCTCTCTTGTTTAAACACTTTCAAAGTTCAAACTTTTGTAGAAAAATAAGTCAATTGTTATAGAATGAAACCAAAGATCAAAACCTGTGCACAAACAGTCATCGCTGTCGGCAAAAGGGTCATTAAGCTTTTAAGTGAATAAAGTTGGCATCCAGTGTAATGTTCTGTTCTCTGCAGTCACTGATCCACAAAACTAAGTGAAGTTTAATTTTAAACTAATTTCGAGAGGAGCACGTGCTCATGAGTGACCCAGCTGGCCCACATTAGCCAATCACGATCCTCCAATCAAAGGATCCCAAGCCACTATGTATATCCTTATTTCCTTACAACTATCTTTGCCTGGAAGAAACCCCCCTCCTCCCCTTTTTCCACCTTCATCCAGAATGGGCGGCACGATGGCCCAGTGACTAGCACTGTCGCCTCACAGTAGAGATCTGCGCGGGACTAAATTTTGAATCCCGCTCCCGCCAGGTTTTAGCCCGAACCTGACCGCTCCCGCTTATATTCAGCATTTGTTGTCCCGCTGCCCAACCCGCCCCGTTTTCTACCCGCCGCGCCCGTTCCCGCTAACGGAAGCGGGGAGAACAAAACTGAAAACCACCCAGCTATACAGTGTCCAGACAGCCTATAACAAGCTGTCTGTATAAACACACACACACACAAGCACAAGCAAGTGACACACACACAGACAGCGTCTTGCTCTCTCTTTCATTCACAAACACACACACACACACAGAGAGAGAGAGAAAGAGAGACAGCACAAAGCTCTCTCTCTCATTTGCCCACACATAGACAGCAACAAACAAGCTAAACGCAGCTTTATTCTGTCTCATTCGCACATGCATACCTGTGCTCGTTCGCTCGGAAGTGGAAAGCGATAATGTTAGACCGCCCGCTCCCGTCCAAAATTAAACCCGCTACCAACCGCTCCCGCGCTTTATTCAGAAATGTATTCCCTCGCCGCAGAAATGTGGTCGGGTCCCGCAGCTCCCATGGTACAGCCACGGGAATGCAGACCTCTGCCTCACAGTAAAAATACCAATGGCGTTGGGTCCTCGCTGGGCAATTTCTGTGCAGAGTTTGCATGTTCTCCCCGTGTCCGCATGACTTTCCCCCGTGTTCCTCCCATTATCAAGATTTGCTCAATATTATAAATAAAATGAGCCTAAATCTTTTTCCTAAATGTCTTACTCTTAGCCTCAGCAGCAGGGAAATTTTGAGATCGACCTAAGCTCAATTTCCCCTCGCCCTGCGAAAGGGGGGGAGCCCTGGGCCCGAGGATCCCTTGAGCTCCGGGCTCTCTCCCGGGACAGTACGCCAAACAAGCTATGAATAAATTATGATAAGTGTGAATTCTAGAAAGCAGACTATCTGAGTAATGAGTAATGTTATGTAAAATGAAAGTATTCAGACGGCGCTCTGCAGAAGTATGAACAGTGTCCTGAGTCATAGCTCGGTGCCACAGACAGCCGCCGACTTGGGGCGCCGGTGTGTGTTCCCTCATGGAAACCTATAGCCCCCTTTCTACTGCACATGACAAACGACAAGCGACAAACCCAAAGTCATTTCCAATGGAGAGTAGTCCAGGAGCTGCGTAGAGTTCCGATCTCTCCGTATGCGGAAAATATGAAATATTTGAACTCCTGCGACTAGACCGTATGCAACTGGCCAACCGGATGTGATGTATTCAAGTGTTGTCCAAGCAGCTCGGTGCGTGCAACATGTGAAATAGTAGTTTTTTTGTTATTTTTTTAATCAGTCTATATTTACAAAAATTTATTTCTATTCATAAATGAATAAAAAAAATAGATATTTAATGTTGTCTCCACATTCCCTCCAAACTTTTTAGCTGTCTATGAGTTTCTAGTATTCATTCATTCAACCATGTTGAACGCACAGATAATTAAGGCTTCTTTATTCGGACACTGCGAGAATCAGCTTCTCTCCCATGGTGCCCGACAACACTGAAAGTTCTGTGCGGCTGCCACAAGGGGGCGTATTCCGACAGTCGTGTCCAAATGTCGTGTGCAGTGGAAAGGCTCCTTTCCACTGCACATGACAAGCCACAGACCGGAAGTCATTCATTTCCAATGGAGAGCAGTCCGGGAGCTGCTTGGAGTTCAGATCATCTCCGTATGCGGAAAATTCGGATCCGATTTGAACTGCGGATACGTTGAATTATTTAAACTCCTGCGACTAGACCCTATGCGACCGGATGTGGATGTGATATATTCCAGAGTTGTACAAGCAGGTCCGTGCGCTCGAGATGAGAAATTGGAGTTTTTTTGGATATTTTTGGAAATAGAAAAAACTCTATATGCAAGTAATAGAGTAATAAAAATATATTTGTTTAATGTTGTCTCCACATTCCCTTCAATATTTTAGCGGTCTGTGAGTTTGAAGTATTCATTCAATCATTCAACCATGGTAAACGCACGGAGAATAAAGGCTCTTGCTTTTGCACTTCTTTATTTCGGACACTGCGAGAGTCAGCTTCTCTCCCATGGTGCACGTCAGAACTGAAAATTCTGTGCGACTGCCACAAGGGGGCGTATTCCGACAGCTGTGTCCAAATGTCGTGTGCAGTTGAAAGGCGCCTTGAGTTTTGATGGTGACCCCTTTTATGATGGTCTTGCTGCGGACAGTTACGACCCTTTTTGCATTCTTGTTGACACACACTGCTAGCATTTATGTTAATTTGGCAAGCTGAACGCATTCTGTACTGTACAGGAAGCACAAAAGAGATTTAATGATAATGGTCTACAGCCAATCAGGATGCAGAACACAATGTGCTGTAAAAAAAAAAAAAAAGTCGAATTGCGCACAAAAAAAAAGTCGAATTGCGCACAAAAAAAGTCAGCAAAACTGTGAGACCGCGAGGTTATAGCGAGGGACCACTGTAAATTTACTATCCTGTGCCCATAGACGCTGCATTAGAAACAGCCTTGCATAAGCAGTTATTCATTTTGGGGCAAATATGCTTTAATACATACGTAAATACAAATGAATATTCATCCTTTTTTAAAAAAAATCTAATATTAAAAACTTTGAAGGATTTGAGATGCTGATAAACGCGTCATAACAGTCTTGTGAAAAGGGTCCATGAGCCGGGGGAGGCGGGAGGATGAGCTGGCACTGTTTCCATGGAGACGGCCACATTGCTATGTGGAATTCTGCATCAGTTTATACCCAGGAGATCTAAAAACAACCTCCGTTGCTTTGCTTTCGGGGGTACATGTGTGTATGAGGAGGTTTTGTTTTTTTAAAAGGGGGATAGTTCACCTGAAAATTCGCTCATTGTTTACTCATGCTTTATTTGTTTTTCACATTTCTGTTAAACACAAAAGAAGGTATTTTGAAAAAAGTTGAACACCTGTAACCATTAACTTGCATAGTAGGAAAAACAAATAAAATGGAAGTCAATGGTTACAGGTTTCATCCTTTAACATGTCTTATTTTGTGTTTAACAGATGACAGAAACTCGTAACGGTTTAGATCCACATTAGGGAAAGTAAACAGTAAGTTACAGTAATTGTAGTTTTTGGGTTAACTGTGCCTTCAAAGAGATAGTTTAACTAAAATTAAATGTTTTATCATTACTCAGTCTTTATCTGTTTCAAACCTTTATGAGTTTCTTTCTTGTTAAACACAAAAAAGGTATTTTGAAGAATGTTGAACACCTGTAACTATTCACTTCCGTAGTAAGAAAAACAAATATTATAAAAGTCAATGGTTACAGGTTTCCAACATTCTTCAAAATATCTTCTTTTGGGTTTAACAGAAGAAAGAAACTCATAAAGGTTTAGAACCACTTGAGGGAGAGTAGATAGTGAGTAAAGTATTATTTGGGGGGGGGGGGGGGGTAAACAATGCTTTTAAAGGGATAGTTCAGTCAAAACTAAAAAAAAAAAAATGTCATTATTATTTACTCATTATTTATTTGTTTCAAACTTTTATGAGCCTCTTCTGTTAAACATATGAAAGAAGATATTTTAAAGAATGTTGAAAAACCTGTAACCATTGACTTCCAGAATATTTGTTTTTCCTAGTGTGGAAGTCAATGGTTACAGGATTCATTCTTTAAAATATCTTCTTTTGTGTTCAACAGAATAAAGAAACTGATAAAGGTTTAGAAGCATTTGAGGGTTAGGGTTAAAAAGGGGTAAATAGTAAATAAATTAAATTTTTTTTGTTAATTATGCCTTTACAAAGATAGCTCAGTCTAATCTAAAACTTCTGTCATTATTATTAACTCATTATTTATTTGTTTCAGACCATTATAAGTTTCTTTCTTTTGTTGAACACAAACAAAGATACTTTGAAGAATGTTGAAAACCTGTAACTATTGACTTCCATAATATTTGTTTTTCCTAGTATGGAAGGGTATAGCCACAAGATTTATTATTCAAAATATCTTCTTTTGTGTTTAGCAGAAGAAAAACTCAAGAAGGTTTAGATTTACTTGAGGGAGAGTAAATTTTCATTTTTGGGTTAACTATGCCTTTAAAGGGACAGTTCACCCAAAACTACAAATTCTGTTATTTACTCGTCCTTTATTTGTTTTTTCTTCTGTTAAACCGAGAATAAGTTTTTTTTTTAAGTTGTAAACCAGTAACCATTCACTTCCATAGTAAGAAAAA